AATTACGCGGCTGGCACGACGGTAAATCGAAATATTAGCATTATGGGAAAGTGGTAAATACAGTAAAAATCGTAGAAAAATACACTTACTTAACTGTCGCAAGCGTATAGACGAGGGATCGAAATCAATGGCAGATATCAATATTTCCACAACGGATTATAGAGGGTCCCGGGTCCTTACAAATAAAAAGCGCAGGAGAGGGGGAGCGAGAGAGCACCAACAATGACGAAGTAGGTAGAAGGGCGTTCGAGACAACGCGTGGTGACTCATCCTTTCTCCCCGTTTTGTGCCAGCTGATCTCGATTTGCTCGGACTGCACGATTTTAATCGGACCCCCTACTAAAGGGGGAAACGTTTCGACCCCCCAACAACCGTCGCCTATTTCTCTTTTGTTCCTTTTTCTCTTCTTATTGTTTTATTTCTCACACTAGTCTACTCTGGAAGCTACAAATTACGTTCAGTTTCTAGTGTTGGGAGTTAAGTAAACGTGGCGAAGAGAATAAATCGATGATGCGACGATTTCCCTTCTTCTTCTTCTTCTACCTTTTTTTATTTAATTTTTTAGGGGGTAAACACGCAGATGGCAATTTAGTCATCGTCGTCGATACGGGAGTTGCGGTTAATCCCGGAGATTGTGATGACACGTGCTTCTTCTGTTCCCCTAATTCGTTTTAAGTACGTAAGGACTCGAATTACTTATACAGTTATTTCGAAAATTATTATTATTATTATTATACAATAAGTTTGAACGTATTTAAACTACGTTAAATTGTGTAAAATTGTAAATTTCCTCGCTCGTGAACCTTTGCCCCGCCACCTAATTTCCTTTATCGAGTGTTATTTAATTATTTCCTATTAATCTCTTATTTTCGACAATGTCATTTTGCATCAAAGGTCCTTCCGCTAGGGATTAAAACTGCCGATTTCATTATTTAAACAATGAAAAGAACGTCACGTGTCGATTTTATTGTCGTCCGAATTCTGTTTACTCGTTATATTTTTAATGAAATTTTTATATTTATATTTTGATTTTATATTCGAAGTGGAGTTTTGCTTAAGTGAAAGGTTACGTCTACGCGTGAAACTGTTAGCCTACCTTTCGTTTTCGTGTTTCGTTATAACGATTTCACGTTTTTACAATTTATTATAAGAAATTTACTCTTTTACTATCATTATGACGTTCCTACGTTTCACTACAACGTTTTCTTGTTTGGTTACAACGTTCACACGTTTCGTTATAACATTTTGTTACAAATTTACGCTTTGTCAAATGATTTCGAAAATATTTTCTAAATAATTTCTGTGTTTCGAATTTACCCACTCCTCGAAAAACACGACGAACAATTATGCATTTTTTTCGATTAAAAAAGTAGGACACGGTTTTTCGGCAAATCATCCGACGACTTGCGTATTTTCCCGTTACGGTAAACACATTTTATCGCGTTGTCACCAATCACGCTAGACAATTTGGATCCAATAAACCTTAAATAATCTGCGCCAACTAAATACGATCCGCCTTGCATTAAAATATATAGCAGTCCCGCGGAAAAGAGTAAATTACTCGAAAATTCCGGACCGTCCGGTTTAATCCGGACAGCATTCTGCTTACTGTGGATTTTTTCATACTTTTATCTCTTTTTTCGTCCTGTGGGCACTAGGAGGGCCCTTTTCAATCGCAGTCGTTTCGGATTCGGCAGGGTTTATAACAAGTGGTGAAGGATGGGACCCAACATATTTGAGAATTGCCTGGGATTCTAGGGATCCCGGTTTCAAATCGGGGCGAGAATCCTAGGAACTTTTTGTGGGCGGTTAGTCCCGGATATTTCGGGTCCGTCCCTATCCGTTCGGCTGCCCTCATTACGGGCCCGATAGAACCCGCAATGCCCGTGCAAAAAAGGCCCACGAGTGAGGGGAAAAAACAAAAATACAGAAGTGTCAGAGTCTCTCTCGTCCAAAAGCATCTCCGAATCGATAATTATTACTTATTGGGTTGTCAACGAACGAACGTTCTAATTGGATGCTCGCTCCCGTGACCCCGTTGCGGGTCAGTCCGTCCTTAATGACGAAATTTTATTATCGTCGACGTCATTTCCGATACTCTAAGCCGATTTAGTTCTCATTTATGTAGTTTTCTACAAAAATATCGATCGCATATATAAATTATCTTCGATATTTTCTAAATGAATTAAATTACCATAAATAAAATTATAATTTGATAACGTAACGAAAATATTTCCTTCTTAAATTGTCAAACAAAATTTACCGAACACCAAAAGTTTAGAAAATACAGAATCAAAATGGCAGGCCGGATTGAATTGATAATAGAAGGCAACATACACATAGACGATCCACCGAGTGGGTTGCCTCTAGCGAGGACTTTCTACCAGAAAATGATGCCTCCCCAACTAGATGCTAGACACGCGAAGAAAACCCGGAAAACCTCACGTGGCCAGCACGTTGGCCAGGCCCGAACCCGCGATCTACTTTCGGCGTTTTATCCAATCGGCCACGGGAGTGATAAAATGATGGACAGTTTCGTCTAGCGACTTTAATTAGACAGATTAGATAATTTCTTGGTTAAGGTTATAGAGATTTTGGAATTTATCATCTCCGATATCGATCGTAAATAATCGTTGATCCGAAGATAGCGCGCGATAACCATGAAAAATTTCGAGATCAAGTCCGTACAGATAAACTGATAAGTTTATATTTTATTTATATATCTGTATATAAATATTTCACCGATTAACGCTATCATATTATAAAATTCAATAATTGCGGGTCAATAAATGATTATCCTGTTACTACTCCGTTATGGCACTTGATTACTTAATTGAAATTATTGATGCCAAAATAGAGTGATTTTAGTTTCGTGCCAATATCTACTGGAATAATGGCGAAACGTTTACAAGATTATTTTTTCCTGAAAGAATGTCCGTGCGAAATTGCTATTGGATAGAAAAAAAAAACGCAATCCGCCATTTTGAAACGGAGATTATTTCGAAAGAAGCGCTACCTACCGGATACAAAAATTGAAATCGGTATAAGGCAACACGACACGTGGACGAATGTCTTTTAAACAGTAAGACACTATCTCTTCATATTTAATTTTCGGTATAATGGAGGAACTTTTAGTACATCGAACGAATTAATATCATTTATTCAAATACATTCTGCAATTTTAGCAATAACAATCGAATCGGTAGCGTCAGGAGGCCCTTTTGTAAATACAATAGAACTTTTCGTAGAGAAGCGATAAAATTTCATTGAAAAACTACCAATGGAACGACATTCTATTATTCTGCAAGTTGCAAGCTTTGCATAAAAGCACTCCACAGTCGAATGCTTTCAAGGGATGCCGACTCACCACCTTATAATACAGGAAGAACGTAAAAAGCGACCGTAAAAATCGACGTAAATAATTGCATTCGTTATTGTTTTATACCGGACGAAGAACAATGGAGAACGACTTTATCACCAAAAAAAACCGGACCGATAAAAATATTTCGATAAATTATTAATGTCCTTAATTATACACGTAGATTTTTTTTATTTAGAAATTAGCAGTTTTACTGAAAAATAATATGAAATATATCGCATAAACACAAGAAAAGTATACCAAAGTTTACTTTTAAAATTTGTAAACAGAAGACAAACGATAAATTTTGGAGTCTTCGTAATTCCTTTTCGCACCACAAGGGCACAGACAGTAGACCGATTGCGGCGCTCTGGCGGATCCGGGTTCGAATCCCGACGGAAACGTCAAGCAGTCAAGCAACGTTCCTCGCTACTCGGCCGCCCCATTGTGGCCTGGCCGAATTCATAACTAGCTTACTAAAGGTCCTCTTAGTAGGCTATCTACGGGGCGGAAAGAATTAAAAAATCACAAGGACACAAAGTCGCGTGGAGAAGCTCTTTTATGGGAAACTGGCCCCTATTTAGACGTTACTAACGTGAAGAAAGTTCAGAAAACTCCACGTGACCGGCCCGTTAGCCAGGCGCTAACCCACGACCGACCGCCAGTGTTCGGCAGTTTACCCACTCGATCACTGATGGACACCCAGAGATCGGCCACGTGGAATTTTCCGGATTTTCTTCACGTCAGTAACACCTAAATAGGAGCCAATTTCCCATAAAAGACCTCCCGAGAGGCACTTCCCCGCTGCACATCACCCTTGTGTCCTGTCGCCTTAAACAATACAACCATAAAATTTGCCGTTTAGCCCAGTGCGAACACTCGGACACTGGTGGGCCTATATTTTATCGACATAGGCTAAAATCTACACCGAAATATATCCGTAGAAAAGCTAATAGAGTATATAAAAATTGCATTCTTAATCGGCATATTTTCGACATATTCTACATAGGTTTAAATGAATTTTACATTTTACCGAAGAAAAATAATTTCCGATTTCGATCTTTCGTCGGTCTTTCCGACAAATTTTATTTGTTGGATAAAAGATAAAAATCGAATTACATATAACGCGTCAAAGAAGTCGATCAAATTCGATTTCTTCAAATTTCACCGACGTCGACGAATTCGCCCATTTTCCTCGGACTAAGCGCATTATCAATTAAGAACGATCTCTTTAAGCTCGAAATTTGCTTTTTCTAATTCTCAAAATTTCAAATAGAAATAAAAAAAAAACAACTTATTTTTATTTTTTTAAATTAGTAAATCTAGTATATCTAACTCCGTTCTCGAGATTAAGTTAGGACAAACAGACGGACGGGGGTCGTTATTAGCATTTATAACTTTTTAGAAAACTCATCCTCAACCTGAAAGTTAAGCTTTTTGCCATTTTATAATAATTAAAAAAATAATAAACTTTTTTTAGTAAAATATCATAACAGATGGCGCCACACGCAGTTTCAAATGTAATTGCGAGGAAAGTTACGCAACTCGTTGCTGGATTTTGTTTTTTTAAATAGCATTAGCAAGAGTCACGCTACTTACAAATTACAATTTATGAAATATTCACGACGAATATTGTACGAAATATAAAATATTTATTCGATTTCTCAATTTTAAATGTTATATATATATACACACACGAAAGGGTTATATACATTATACAATTTAATATACATTTGTGCATTGCACGTAACAATTAAGCTTTTGATTTACAAAACAAAAGAAGGGAAAGAATAATCCAATGCATTTTGGAATTTAACAATACAAAATTATTATTCGCCCATTTTTTAATACAAAAAAACAAGTATAAAAATAGTTTTGTTTTAAAAAACAACAAAATTATTGTCTAAAAAACGACCGCAAAATTTAACAATACTCGTTTGTTTAGACACAAAATACTAGAAACGAATTCTTGTATTATCTTCGTTGCGAGTAAAGATACTTCGGACTCGTCTCTTCCATTTGTTATAACGATACCTGTTTTAAAACATTGTAATGAATAATCTACGTTATTAATTATACAATGATTATTCTAATTTAAAAATTGTTTATTAATCTACTTCATACGTTTTGTCTCGTGTTATTTCCCAAACTAACGACTTCCGCGGACCTTTACAAGTGTCAAAATCATTTGCAGGCCTGTTTAAAATGGAACCCGAATAAAAGGGAAACCCGCCTAAACAGAAAAAAAAAATACTCGGTACCGGACGATTCCGGCTTACACAGGTTTTACTGTACTTATATATGTGTATACGAGTACGTATCTATACACGTGTAAGAACATATTTACAGTATTTCCTCGATTGAATCTGGTGGTTTATTTTTAATACCTACGTATTCCCGTGTTTATTAACTCGAAACAAGTGAGGAGTGAGTAAAAAGTCGCGGAGTTTTCCGGATCTTTTTCACGTCAGTAACATCTAAATAGGGAGCAGTTTCCCCGAGAAGCAACCCCTTGGCAGATGGCCACGTGTAGCGTTGCCGTATACAAATAAACTTAACCTAATTTCCAAAAACGTTGTTATTTTATCGCACCGGGCATTTTGTAGGTTATTTGACTGAACCCAATTTTCCATTATGGACGAGTCAAGGTAAGGAATTAGTGATGCCCTAACCCGAGTATCGGCAATAAATTACAAAGATGTGAATTACTTATACTACTAAACACACCTGATTATATTTGCCGAGTTTTTTTCTTTATTCCAAACGTTTTCAGCCTATTTGGATAGGCCATCTTCAAGCTTTCACATTCATCGTTCTAATAGAATCTTTTGTTCGAATTTCATTTGAATTTGAACTTTTAACAACTTAGGTATATACAGGAGTAAATAAAAATAGCTAACAATAACATCAAAACGTGTTGTAACTTAACAAAAACACGAAAAACAAATTAAAAATAAAAAAAATATATAAACTCAAATCGCGTTGCAATTATTATTGTTAGCTCCTGTATATACATAAGTTGTTAAAAGTTCAAATTCAAATGAAATTCGAACAAAAGATTCTGTTAGAACGATGAATGTGAAAGCTTGAAGATGGCCTATCCAAATAGGCTGAAAACGTTTGGAATAAAGAAAAAAACTCGGCAAATATAATCAGGTGTGTTTAGTAGTATAAGTAACTAATATTGCTAAGAAGATAGATAGATAGATGTGAATTACGTAATACTTTATGGTGTAATTCGAATGTTTTTTCATGAAAACATTAATTACGAGAAAAGTCAGAAATTAATATTTGTGCATAAACTGATTTGTAAAATTTCTCCATGGGTATTAATTTTAAGTTTGGGTTTTTATCCTTGGTTGGCGGGAATGAATATTTATAAAATGGCAAATTGCAATGTAAAATTAGCCTCGTTACGACCAGTCCCACCTTGTGGGACCACCAATCCAATATTAAATTGTAGTTTAAAGCTTCTTGTACAATGTATGATACCTGTTTTATAGCTCATGCCCTCTTTTCTATGGTCTGCGGGCACCGCTGGTCCACAAAGATACTTGAAGCATTAGTGATAAATGACAAATCAAATTATATATTTCTCTAATATGCTTAATTCTCGGTCATTTTGAGCCAAAGAAATGAATGCTTCAATTGAGAGTGAGATAGGTGTATCAGATGAGACGTATTCTTTAAAAAAATATTTTTTATATACAGTAGAGCGTCGTTTATCCGAATCAATTGGGGACTGGGGTTGTTCGGATAACTTATTTTTCGGATAACCGATTACCGGTATGTACGAAAAAATATATTAAACTATCCTATGTTGAAATTTTTCTCCGTTGTGTGTCGCTTTGTGTTGAATTTTCGTCGATGTTAAGCCTAACGAAAATTTTTATAATAATAATCGTGGCTATTGTATCGTTAAAAATTATTTCTTTATTTTGCACAAACAAAATAAATATATTGAAAAATATAAAAACAAAAAAAAAATTATACTTTAGAAGTTAATCTAGTATCAAAAACATTCAATTCAGCACTACACACAGTTCTCAGAAAAACACTACACAAAAGTGCCAGTGCTGCCAGCTAAAGCACACACACCAACAAAAAAAATATTGGAGTAGCCCATGATATAGCCAAAGGTTGCAGCGCCACGGCATTAGCGGAAATTTAAATTTGCCAACTGGAACGCTTTCGGTTAACCGACGTTTCGGTTGACAGACTTTCGGATAAACGACACTCTGTACTTAAAATATGTAAAAATGTTTATGTTCCACTACGGACAATTTGGTAAGTCCATCAAAAAGTTTGGAAGCTGCCAGTTTACATTATTACTATTGCAAATTTTGTATAAACCATAGTTCTATTTTAATTGATACTTATATTTTACAACTTAATTAATCATATTTTTAAATCTTTTATTATACAATTAGTGAAAATGTGTAATGGCATCGCCTACCTCGGTTTTATTTACATTCCGTTATAAGAGGGTCCTCCTCCACTCTCCGGCGTGACCCAATTAATATTTTGACTGGGATCTTTTATATCACAGGTTTTACAATGAATACAGTTCTGGGCATTGATCTGCAGTCTTGTAGTTTTTCCGTCTTCCAATGGAACAAATTCGTATACGCCTGTAAATACATAAAATAATGTATTGTGAATGGAAATTTTGCAATTCTTTAATTTAACTACACAAAACAGACATTTCAAATAGTGCAGAGCCAAATATTGATATATTTTTTATGGGCATTTTAAAAGCAAATGTTAACACATGATACCTGCAGGACAGAATCTCTGTTCTGGACCGTCAAACACTTTCAAATTGCGATCTACCGGTATCGTGTCGTCCCTGAGTGTCAAATGCGGAGGTTGATTTTCTTCGTGATTGGTGTTAGTCAGTGCCACTGATGTCAACAGGTCGAAAGTAATTACATTATCTGGCTTGGGATAGGCAATGGGTTTGCATTCAGAGGCGGGTTTTAATTTTCCCGCGTCGGCACCTGAAAATAATTTTTGTGTTTAGATGATGTTAAGTAAATATGTTTAGAATTTTAAATACAAATTAATATTACACGAACTTCATAAGCGTGAAATCACGTGGCCGGATGGCTGAGCAGTCAAGGTGGCAGCCTATTGATCTGGGGACCCAGGATCAAATCCAAATGGGCCAACTAATGCCCAGGAATTTTTCGGAGGGGTGGTCCGTTCAGATATGTTGGGTTCCGTCCCTCACCACCCAGCCGCGTCATTGTGGGCCTGGCCGAACCCATAATGGGCTTGCAAAAAACAGACCCTCTTAGTGCCCACAGGGCAGAAAGAGTTATAATGAAAAAACAAAAAAAAGCGTTAGATCAAAATTAAAATTATATTGGACATCAATTTTCCAGACTTGAATTGCAAATCTACTTCACTTATTCGAAAATTAATCTTTTAATAATCAAACACATTATTGGGTATTAGAAAAAGATATAAAAATTATTCACTAATATGATGGTATAAAATAGAAAAATATGCAGTAGACTACACTTATTGTTATCATTTTGAGACTTCCCTATACTGATAATAATAACTGACTAATAATTTTATGTGAAATAAGTAAACAATAATACAATTAAAAGAAGTTCTGGTTTTATTGACATCAAAAGGACATGTTTAAAGAATTTTAAAATGTAACTTGAAAACTTATTAATTAATAAATAATTTATTTGGTATTGTTTGTCCACTACCACTTTTGATGGTGGCCAGAAATTTAAACTATTAATTGTGAGCAAATAATGATTAAAATAATTAACTTAGAGCACCAGTCAGGACTGATAACAATAAATGATAGTAATAGCATGTTATTGGCTACGTGTCGAGATTACTAGAAAAAAAATTAAACATAAAAATACCAATTTACCCAAAGATGATGAAAACAATAGCTGAATTCTGATAAATGAATTTTTTTATAAAGTGTTATAACTTTCTATGTTTTGGGACCTGATAATCTTGATAACATTATTTATGAATGTAATAAACAGAATCTATTGTAACTATCATTATTAAATTTTTACTGTAAACAATCTTTCTTTCACATATACTTCATCTCAGTTGCTTTTATCCTATCTTTTAATTTCATTATTCAATCTTTGCAACTCATTTAATTCAACTAGTGTGGTCAATATATAATTTAATTCTTATTTTCATTTGGAACTTGATAAAATATAGAGTCAAGTATTTGAATACAGATTGTACTGTGCTGTAAGAAATTTATAATGACATTAAAGTTATATGTACAGCATTGCATACAAAACCTGCAAATTTTATGCAATGCCATACAACCAACTGGTGCCAAACAGTCGATCACCTTACAGGTTTCTTATGCAATACTGCACTGTAACTTTAATGTCATTACAAATTTCTCATGGTGATAACCTTGCAGTAATTTGAAAATTTTTAAATTTAATAATATAACATACAAAATCAGATTTGGTTATTACAGTATTTGTATTGTTTGTTAATTATTACTCTACGCTATATTGATTGCATTTCTGAGAATTGTACAATTATTGACTTTTCGTTAGTAAATGGTAGAACCAAAATTTAATTTTAATATTATAAATGCATTAAATGTATATATAAATATTCATTCAGATGCTAATATTATTGAATGGAAAGAATAGATTAGTTCTCCATAATTTGAAGTTTAGACTATTTACAAAAAGTCAAAAATAACTTTTAAGTCCATCTTTATCCCTTATACACTACCACAGAAGTAACAGTCTTAAAAAAAATGCTTTAAAGAATTCTTCTTAAACACAGGTAAAAATTGGTAAAAAATCTCACAAGGTTAAAAAAATCAAGTGTCAGCCTTTCATTGTAGGTTTCTGACACTTTTACAATTAAAAACACAAAGAAATTCTTCACACTATCATTTTTATCCACCTTTTTAAACTGCTTCTAGCCCTCTAGTGGTAATTACGAGTATCTAACATTATTTGCATATAGTTACAATTTTTGTGATAACTCAGGATGTATTTTCTTCATTTGAAGTTTAGACAATTTATAATAGTCTAAACTTCAAATTATAAAGAAAATACATCCTGAGTTATCACAAAAATTGTAGATTAGTTCTCTATGACACAACTACAGCATTTGGAACACGACTACATTATTCCATCATCTGAACACTTTTTGTAATACAGTATTGTGTATAATGTTTGAACATAATTGACTTATTTCACTTAAGTGAAACAGCTAATAGCAAAATTCCAATTACAGAAAGTAAAATCCAAATTCAATTCGTCAATTAAGGCAGTCGAGCTCATAAAAAAACTCATCAAATAGAGCATTTGGTAATTTAAACATACATCTTTGGAAATTCTGTTGACACCATAGATTATTCAAAAAGAAAACTAAATGATATTGTACATATGTCAAAAACTCATGTGGAATGTATATTGTTAAATTGACTATGCTTCTTTGTATACTAACAGTTATATTTTTATTTCCAAAATTGAATAATGACTAATAACATAAAATACTTTACAATTAAATAAAAATTCTACATACAGTCAAACATCCAATAATGACCATCTCTAAATGGTAGCCATTTTTTCTTGGAAACTTTTTTGAACAATACAAAAATAATCTCCAAATGACAACCATTTTCTTAGGTTGTCATCATTAGCCATCATTTAGAAGTTTGACCATATACAGAATTTTTCTAAATATGTATAAATTAATAAAAGATTACAATACCAAGAGCAGTGACAAACCTTTATGACTCAATGTCCAAGGTTCCTTTCCTCTTCCCAATACGTAAAATAGCCCCGTATAAAAAAGTCCACCATAAATGCCAAGAGGACCGTGAAAAGAAGGTCGAATATTCCTAACGGATTTCAATTCTTTCCAAACCCAACTATTTTTAAGACGTTCTTCGTAATGAATAGGTTCTATTCCTGTAAAATGATTTCATCATATTATATGAAATGCCAGAAAAATGATAAGTAGAACTGAAAAAAATTCTATTTTTGAGAATCTCAAAAATTTAACAAAAAGTTTTAAGAATTTACAAAAATTTCCGTAAACACAATTAAATACAAAATTAGAAAAATCTAGTCTTACCTGTTGTAGGCGATTTATAATTTTCGTCAAACAAAGTATCAAAAATACTTTCAGCTGCAACAATGGCACTCTTCATTGCATTATGTGTTCCTTTAACTTTAGGCACGTTCATGAAACCGGCACTGCAGCCTATCAGGCAACCTCCAGGAAATGTTAATTTTGGAATACACTAAGTTGTTAATTAATAAATTTAATTAATGAATTAATAAAACTTATTATTTCAAAAACAAATATAAATGTTCATTCAATATATGATATACAGTATGAGAGTGACTTAAAAGTTTGTGACTTTTCCTAAAAGACAAATTTGATAGTGAATAAATTTTATTCAGTATAATCGTCTTTTGACTAAATGCCCTTTTACAATGTTCCTCCAATTTTTGCAACTGCAGAAAAAGAATTCCTTAGGGTGATTAGTGAACTGGACTTCCATGACACTGATGACCTCACGACCAGAAACAAATCTTGTCTTCTTCAGATGCTTTTTTGACACTGGTAAGAGCATAAATGGTGCTAGTAGATTGGGTAATAGTCCGCCTAAAACATTGTTCATTCATCCATCCACACTGAAATGATTTATTCAAGCTTACCTATACAGTACTGGCAATTATTGGGGGTTCCTTTAAATACAAATTGATTGTTTATCAAGTAATTACATGTTCTCAAACTTTTTCTGCTTACATGATCTTCTGAAAATCAATTGCCAAATTTTAAAAATTAGTTTGTTTTTTTGATGAAACATGCAGATAACTTGCTTCACTGAAACAATGTTTTGCCTCATTGCCATCTTCCCAGAATAAAAATCCTATTACTGTTACTGGGCAAGAGATCTGAGAGATAATTTGTGAATAGACCAGGTGGTATAACAATTATCATACCAAAGCCTTGATTTTCTATGTGGTTTGGTGTGTGGTGTGGAAAGATGCATTGCCTTGAAGAAAGAGGATGATATGGATAATGTAAGAAATTCTTTCCTGAGAAATCTGCAAAATTTTGGCAATCTTCCTGAAGAAAATGTGGCAGCTATTGAAGATGGAATTGTGAACTTTATCCACATTTTCATCTTTGCTGTTGAAATCAATTGTCTAGAGCAGTGGTCTACAACCTTTCTGACCTCACAGACCACTAAACTCACAATTTTGAATCCCATGGACCACTATCATGAATTTTTTTAAACGATACGAAATCTGTAGAATAATGATCATAAAAGTTCAATTTTACTATATTAATATGAAACTTGTTTGTTTAATTATAACAAATTAATGCAAGCCTAAAGTTTGAAATAAGTTTATGGATTCTTATCACTTTTCCACAAAGGATAACAATCACACTCACAATATTGTTTGTTTATTGCTCATTATTTATTGATAACAGTCACTTCGTATTTGGTTTCAGATTCGAATAAAAATCCCCAATGAGTGAAAAAAAGCAACTAAGCATTTTGCATTTTTTTTGTAATACTTGGTGTAACCTTCAGTTCATCAACGACCAAATTTCTCCACGGACCACCCAAATTTTCTCGTGGACCATTGATGGTCCACAAGAAAATTTGCCAACTGCTAGAACATAGTTTATCTGTTATTTTGAATTAGCCAGTTCAGAAATGTGTCATCCATTTCTTCATCACTGTGGAGGAAAAGCAGTTTTTCTCTAGATTTGCAGCCTATTAGATCATATCTCATGCATTTCTTTTCCTTGGAGGAACATGAACTGTAGTACCACAAATTTGATGCCACCATCACAAATTCAAACTGTCAAAAAAAAGGAAATTAATGGTCATAATAGACTTTTGTGGTGCATGTGTTCTACAGACAACCTTCTCTCCCTACATTCCTCAAGACCCAGTGTTGGGTGTTGAAAAGTTACAAATTTTTCAGCACCCGTCTCATAAATTCTATGATATAATTATTTGTGTCTGAAAATAATTAAAATAAATTTTAATGATATTAACAAATTTTTCTAGCAACTTGTTTCAGGAAACAGTTACATGTATGATATAACTATTCCCTGAAACAAATTATTGAAAAAATTTTCAACTCTATATCTTAAAATTTCCAAAACTTCACATCTTTATTATCAGAAATATTGGATATTTTCTATTTTTCAAATGTGAATGTATTAATTACTCAAAAAAAAAAAAAAAACAAACCAAAAAATTCTAGAAAAAGAACTGACATTCATCCATTGAAATAAACCAACAGATAGTTTTGTGTAGAAATAAAAATAATTTGAAAATATTTTTATTCATATGTATTTAAATTTCTACTTCATTTTCTGAATGAAAAATACCAATATTTATAAACACCATGCAAGAAATCGATGAATTATTTTTTATTTAGGTCTCAAATGAGCACTTACCTGAAAACCGCCTTCGTTCAATGCTCTTGCACCGTATGCAATTCTTTTCCCACCCTCAAAAGTCTTTCTTATACTGGGATGTAATTTAAAACGTTGAAATTCTTTAAACGGATTTAAGTATGGATTTTCATAATCTAACCCAACGACAAATCCTACAGCAATCAAAGGCTGTCCTTCGCCCAGATGATACAGAAACGATCCACCATAAGTTTTATAATCCTAAAATTTATATATATTTATATATTAAAATTTTAAAATAGAAAATGTATTTTATGAAGTAGTACTATGATTTAATTATATAAGTTGCTTAAAAACTTCACATACACTTGATTAACATGGTTAATTAATCCCTTGACACTACCGCATAGATCAAAATCACAGTATCTATGTTAAGTAAAGACAACAGGTAAAGCCATGTTAATTAAAACTTATGCAACATATATATAAAGAGATGGCTACAATTAATTTTGCATGTTAATCAAATCCTGTGTTAAGCAAGGGATACCTGTATTTTATTTTCTTATTTTTGAATTATTTTTTTCAAACTTGATATTTGATAAACACTGTATAATAATCATCCTACATGTTAATGTAAATCTGTTTCATCCTCAAGTTATTACTATTTTAAGGACATTGAATGTGGAGATTTAAATATCTTGACTTTTATTCATTCTCTTTTCACTTTAAGAAGGTATTGTCTTCCAGAATTATAGTGTGGATTTGTCCAAGGTATATATTGCCACAAAGCAGATTTATGTCAGTGGGACTTATGGTCCAACAAGAGAAGACCATACTGATGTTTAAAAGCCTGTTAAAAGAGAAAGAATGCTTATGGAATCATTTTGTTTCAAAACTTTTTAAAAGAACAATCTCTGTTTGTTAGTTTTTTTTTGTTTTATAAAGTTGTTGTGTTTTAAGTTGTTCTGTGTCTTTTATTTTTAATTCAATTTATTTACTAAACATTGTTTTGTTTTTTGACAATTATCACTCATCCTCATTCCCTCCACAGCAATATAATACAATACATTAAATTGTGTTATGTGTAAAGAAACTTATTGAGAGCATACAATTTATGTTGAAAAACTCACCAACGGCCATCCAACTGTGTGCATCACCTGTCCCGGATGATGTTGCGACGGATCAATTTCCCATATTTCTTTAAATCCTATTCCGTAAGTTTGAGGTTCACATTTCTCTCGAAGGTTAAATGTCTTAAACAACTGTTTCGACAAATGACCGTGGCATCCTTCAGCAAAAATGGTGCACTTTGCATGTAATTCCATACCTCGTTCAAAATTATCCTGAAAATAAACAAGCAAATGGTCATTGTCTATTTTTTTTTTTTTACTTGCAAAATCATTAAAATTATTGAATTTATATAAAATAAATTATACAGTCAAACCTCATTACATTATTGAATGCAAAATCTGTGCTAATACCAAGTAGATTTGCAGTTCCCATGGACGAAGGAGGATAGGCACTTTGATGTTAACAAGTTCGATAAATATAAATTAATACAAAGTGCCAATTTTTAAGTCACATTGACGTCATAAAAACAGAGTTTGACCATAGATGCAATATTGGAAATACAGAATGGCCTAAACTCAATTAACTGAGATGTTTTACAATTATGTTATGAATGCTTAAAACCAGTTTAGAATGTTTTGACAATAGTTTTCATCAGTTATTTTAAAAGATTAATACTTTAATAATTACATTAATTAAAAATTTTTTTTTATTTTTGTCCCTCCATCCTGTGAATACTAAGAGGGCCTTTTTCCCAGATCCATCATGAGAGATTGCTAGATGACCAAATGATTAAAAAGGTGTCAATCTACCATTCTGGAAGACCCAGAAAAGAATCCAGACAGGACAAAAAAGTTTGTTGCAGATATGTCGGGCTCCATCCCTCTCCTTTCACCCACTGTCGGCCCAACCAAACCCACACAATTAAAGACCTTTTTAGTCCCACAGGGGTGAACAGAGAAAAAAAAATTGTGGATTTGGCCAGACCCCACAGTGGGATGGGGATCAAGTCCAACACATTTGAGATGATCCACTTGAGAAAAATTTTCAGAGTTGCTAACCAAATTTGATCTGGGTCTCCTGGAGTGGTAAGACGAAACATTAACTGCCTCGGCCACCTGGCCACTGATACACAAAAATCAGAAATGCCATATTTTAATCCTTATGTATTTTAAATATTGTTAACTTATATTTTACATTTCTGTTAATATCTAGTCCATAGAATTTTCTCTTTCAAAACGGATTAGTGAAGCTAATTTTTTAACTAGATCTAAATCAAACACATTAAAATAATAATTCTAAAAAATTTGTAAATTTTGAGAATAAACGAGTTAAAATCACTCTTTTTTATCTGACTTTGAGAAAATTAAATACAGAGATGGATCACAATTTGAAATCAATAATTATCTCTTACTTTATTCTCCATATGCATTTCGCCTGTTAGCCTCATCAGTGGATATCGTGCTTTACATTGCCAATACTTTTATGCTCTATCATCATATCCCAACATGCATCTACACTTATGCCAATATTTAAATTAATGGTATTTACATAATTTTTGATGCAGTAATGTTCAATAATATGTCTAGTTACAAGATTTTCTATTTCATACAATATTTTAACATTATTTTGATCAATAATACAATTTGTAATATTACAATGCTGATGCCACAGAGATTCGGTTCATTTTAATTGAATTGCCACCTTGTGCTCCTTCAATCTCGTTTCAAGTTTTCTTCCTTTTTCACCAATATAGTACTTCTTGGTTGTACAGTACATGTACACATCAATCTGTAAACGACTCCTGGTACTTCCAGAGGATTCTTTGAACATTTAACATTTCCTTTGTTAATCAAATAAATACTCTTATTTAGTCTATTTCATTGTTCATCTACTAAATTGACAAAGTAATTTTTCAAAGAATTTTTTATATTTTTCATAAATTTTGTAATATATGGGATTTTAATATATAAATTTTTTATTTTTTTATTTTTAACATTATATTTGTTAGTGGTATAAGAATTACACCATCTATATATAAGTTGTTGCAGATAATCATTCAATAAATATTTTTTTAAAAGATTTTTAGTTTCCACTTCAATATATTTCTGTAACATTGTTCTATTAAAAATTTTTTGTAATTCCATTAAAAATACATTTCTTTTAATTCCTATAGAACAATATGATTTATAACTAATCATTTTATTATTGTTACAAATTTTCTCGTACCTACGAAACAGTAGTTTTTCATCTTGTCTTGTGATTGTAACATCTGAATAATTAATTTCACAATTTTTATCTTCTTCATAGGTGAATCCAATATTTTTGTTTATGATGTTTGCATAAGTTTCAATTAATATAAAGAAATTGCTTTTTGCCCTTGGTTTAATTAATTTAATTTAATAAGTTTCAATGTTTTTAGCTGTGGTGATATTTGAATCGTACAAAATGAATATGTCATCTACATACCTAGCATAAAAAGAAATACAGTCATACCCCGACTTACGCGAACCCGGAGTTACGCGATTTTCAAATCTCGTCGATTCGTTTTTTGTTTCAGCGCCACGCAACTCTTGATTATTCACTCCCCCCACACTATTGTTCAGCTTAATGTTCGGACGTGTGGCACGGAATCGACGCATAGCTACAATTGATTTTGTGTAATTTATTTCTGTTTGTTATATCTACAGAGACTCGAGAGACTCTATATGGTAATTTCTTGTAACCGTGAACGAACCAAAAGGCGAGATAAGATTAACGAGAACATTTATTAGCTTACATACATCCGACTTGGATTTTACACAAAAGGCATCTGCAATCGTGAACAATTGACGAAAAAAGTATACATTTATCAGATAATAAACAAAGACTCATTTTGTAAACAATTTACCTTTTGTATATACAACTGACAAGATTACCTTTCAAATTATAAACAGACTCGATCCCAAGCGGTCTTTTGATCGTCGGACATACAAAAGAAATGAACAGATGACGCCTAACTTAAGCGCGGTTTACAATAACGAATATGATTAATCTTAACACTCTACTATGTCATCCAAACGAAGTAGAACTGATTCTTCTGCATCAAACAAGAAAAGAAAAACTTTATCTTTGGAATGTAAAGTTAATATTATTAAAGACTTCGATACAAAAATGAAAATTTGTGAATTGGCAAAGAAGTTTGATCTACCCGAATCGACAGTCAGAACAATTATAAAAGGTAAAGAAAAAATTCTCTAAGCTGTAAAAAATGCTCAATCTTTAAATTCGAGCAACATTCGTAAACGTCACGGTATTATCGCTGAGATGGAAACAATGTTAAAATTATGTTGTGATAATCAAGTAAATGTGAAAAATTTTATAATAATATAATTTGTTATACATATGTATTATCTAAGATTTTATTAAACATTTTTTTTCTAAATTGTTGTTTTCTTTAGTCTACAGTCCGAATTAAAAATAATTTGTATGTATTTATATGCAAAATTATACCCCGACTTACGCGGTTATCGCTCGGTCCCACCTATCGCGTAAGTCCGGGGTATGACTGTATCTTTAAACTGGAAGATTTTTTCATCTAATGTCATACAAATATCCGCAAGTTTTGGACCAACCACAGATCCCATCGCTATCCCATCTTTTTGACAGTAATATTCTGAGGAAATTGTAAAGTAATTACTTTTAAAGGCAAATTTTATAAAATCCATAATATAACTAGGTAAATTATATTTACTTAAACATTCTGTAATGAAATTCTAGTTTATTGATGGATACATCAATTTTACATCCAAACTTATAAATCTAAAGGATTTCTTGCTTTGACCATATAATAAACTTGAAATTAATTGATCTGTATTTTTTATACTATATTTAGAGTCTGGTATGCACTGTAAATAATTTTTAATATAACGTTCTAAATTATACAATATAGAATATTTAAAATCCACTAATGGTCTATAAATATTTCCCACTTTGTGGGTTTTAAGTCTAATATTGAGTTGTGTAATACGTACATTATTAAAGTTCATTATCTTCTTATAATCTTGATTCATGCACTCTTTTTTATGTATTTTCGTTAATTTAATTAATCCTTTTTTAATTTCTTCTATTGGATCACTAGGTAAAAGCTCATATTCATCAGTAAACACTATTTGTTTTTTCCTTAATTGTAAGTCAGAATTTTTAATTATTATAAGTGCATGAGATTTATCTGCTTTAATGATAGATATATGTTTATTTTTAAAAAATTTAATTAATCTATTCATTTTACTAATTATATTAATTGCTTTCTTGTCTACTATATATTCCTTATATGCACCTTTTCCTTTAAATTTTTGGAGATCTTTACTTAGATTTATTCTTAATTGTTTTTTATCTTCTTGTTTTCCTGGGATTTGTTGGATAGCACATTCTATTTCGGCCACAACTTCAATTGATTTTGAAAATATAGGCAGATTCATATTATTTCCATTTGACAATAGGCATAAATAATTATTCGGTACATCAACATTTGTTAAGTTTACAATTAATTTATTTAACCCCATTCTTCTCTCTCTGCAGTTGAAGGGTAATCAAATTTTTTAGTTAATTTAAAATTCTTTTTTGTATTATACTGATCATTTCTATTAATATTATTATTTCTCTTCATTTATTTATGTTTTTTAGATAATAAAAATATTTGTTTACCTTTTTTCTTTATAACTGATTTTATAATTGATCTTTCTATTTTTATTACATCACCACATCGAATACTGGTCTTGATAGATGCCGGTAACTGTAATGTTGTAGGTGTATGTTGTTCACGTAAGAAACACTTAAAATAATTTCTATCGATCTTCAATCTACCCATCTGCTGTTTTAACTCCTCTATTCCCATTCTTAAAATTTACAAATTTTTTGGAATTATTATTTTAACATATATAATAACCGATCCCATTGCTTTAATTTTTATCTTATAACTAAATCAAACAGTTCTTTATACTGAAAAAGTTTTCACTCATGAAAGAATTTCATTCTTTCACAAATGAAAAATGGTTTTAACCATTCATAAATTTCACTCTTTGAAACTAGAGTTGTCAAATCCTTTCATTAGTTAAATATATTATTTATATAATAAATTAAACCTGTCATAATTTAGGGAAAATTAAGATAATTGAAAATAAATAGCTTTCTAGGAGGATGCATTTCACTTACATCATAAAGAGCTTGTGATAATGTTTTTCAAATGAGATTAACAATTTTAAGAACGATAATTCCTTATTCTAACAAAGTTAATATTGATTATTTTACAAAATAATTTATAATAAAGTTAATTAAGTTCATACTTTGGGCGAACCGTCTTTAGCAACTCCTACGTCATTTGTTGCAATACCTTTTACACTACCGTCTTCGTGATAAAGAATCTAGGAAAAAAGCATGCAAAATTACTTATTTAATTTTTATTACATTATTGTGCATTGTAATTATTTATGAAATACTGAAAATTCAAAAACAAGTTCATTATTATGACATTCAAAAAGCAAGCACTTATTATTTAAATTTTATAATTTCCTAATAATTAATTTTTATTGATAACTATTATTGTTGCAAAGAAAAGAGTTTTATTACCACAGATCAGTTTTTTGCATTTGTTTGTGTTATTTTATTCAAAATAGCAACAAATTGAACCTTAAAAGAAATTCCAGGATAATCTATTGCAAATTCTAACGTTTTCAATCTTCAAAGGCGATCTTCCTCAGGATTCTTTAAATTGGAATACACTGAGAGACAATAGATTCCAGCATGATCTTGAGTACATTGGAGCCATCAAAGTAAGACTGGCTGAACACAATTATGATATTAATAAAGAAAAATACAACACCCCCTAGCCAGGTATGACACAGACAATGACATTCAAGCCCATCTAGACCAAGCTTCCATCATAAGACGATCTAAGCATGACGACCAAATAAGGACACTGGAATCTCTCAAAATATTCAAACCTGTAAAGAGCGGACGTTGCATTAATTTCAAAGAGAAAGGACAAGTATCCTATGCCTGGCAATCCTTATACCAAAGGGAACAGTCAAATTAAAAAAATTATTTTGGAGAGATTTAAATTCGATTTAATCAATGTAAATTATTTAAAAATTTTTTAAGAGAATTAGTTAAAAAATTCTCATTTATACGTTTTTTAAATAATTCTTAAAAACATTCCATTTCCGCATTTCAATTTAAAGAATTCTGAGGAAGATCTCCTTTAAAGATCGAAAACGATAGAATTTGCAATAGATTATCCAGGAATTTCTTTTAATGTTCAATTTGTTGTTATTTTGTAAGATATATTCCAGGCTTGCAAAGTTTGAGTTATTTTATTCAATATTTAATGAAAATATTTGGCATTAAATATCATTGTCCAAAATCAGGAAAACCTTTCAATGTACTGTACACAATAAAATTTAAAAATATCTACTGTATCTTGTATAGTATGCCAACTGTTCTAAATGTGTAAAAAAGTTTCTATACAATTTTCTCTAATTTCACTTATAACAGATGTCAGACTTTTGAACATAATGCATTCCTAAAAATGTATGCAAAAGTCAAACAAGAGTTTAGGAGGAAGACTTCCACTGTCTTAGTGACATTGCCTTGTAAAATTTAAAGAATAAAGTTTAATATCACCAGAGATAGTAAATAAGATCCAGGGTTTCTGATTTATATATTCTCATTGTGTTGGATGACTCACAACAGCATTGTTAATTCTTTATTTAACTTTGTAATGTGTTTCAGATAACAACATATATGCCCATTTGGACCATGTTAAATAAAGTAAAATTGCTGTTTGTCAACAAGTTTTATAATTAAATTGAATATATTAAATATTTTGACTAGCACACATCACAATAAATGTAACTTCGATGTTCTACAGAGCCAAACAATTGCCAGATTAAATTGGGCTATGTTGCCAATACTATTAATAATTAAATACCCAGTAATTTGGCACTGGAGATCGGCATTAGGTGCCATCTCTTATTAAATTTAATAATTATAATTAATTTAATATTTATGAAATAATTTAGAAAATTCTGGAAAAAAAATTGGCTCGAGCAGGACTAGAACCCACAACTGCCACTTACCATGTGGATGCATTACCACATGGTAAGTGGCAGTTGTGTCCCTCCATCTGATCCTATGCTTCTGCCATATTTAAGTTAGATATAACTATACTAGTTACCCATGGATGGTGTCTAACATTCTGGTGCCAAATACTCAGTACTTAATTATTAATAGTAGTTGTAATGTAGCCCAATTTAATCTAGCAATCATTTGGTTTTAATATAATTATGAGGCTTTGAAATGTTTATATATGTTTTATAGAACATCTGACATTTCTAATAAATCCAGTAAACTAAAAATAAAGAATTTTAAAAACTTACTAAAATATAGTGCAATTGGCATTTAAATTGATGAATGCAATAATGTAAAAGATTATATTGATTTAATACTATAAAATGTGAATATCTATTAGTATTTTATGGGTGAATTGAATTTTAAATTCCTTGCATGTCTGTATATGATGCATAAAAAGCAATTTAGGGATAGTGTACTATATACTGTACCAAAGAGCATGTTGTATAAAAGTCAAATGGTTTAGAGTTAAGCATTGCCCATACCTGTAAACCAGTGTTTCTCAAAGTGGGCAATAACGCCCCCTTGTGGGCGATGATTAAATCTAGGGGGCGCTGGAGGCAGGGTATTGAACGGTGACCAAAGGCAAAATTGGAGTCACTGAAAGCCGTTCCCTTTCCTCTGTTAAACTGACAAGAGGAAACATTGCATTTAATGGTTTCCAGATGTTGAGAACAATGTATGATAAGGGCACACAGTGTGAGATTCATAGGAAAGTTTTCCTAAGAATATTGCCAATCCTTTCTCACACAAGAGAAAATGGGTTAGGGGGCATTGGGTATAATTTTATGGAGGTGGATCGAAAAAGTTTGTGAATCACTGCTGTAAACAATGCATTTTAGTAATAAAAATTCTCATTTTCATGAATTCTCTTATCTGAAAAATAGATACAGGGTCTTTCAAATATGATTGGTGATAGCAACACCCACAGACTATAAAATGGGCATTGTACTGTACATTATACAAGAAGCTTCAAACTATGATTCAACGTCAAAACAACATTCCCACAAAGTGGTGCTAATTGCAATCGGGATTTACTTCGCCTTGAAAACAAGAAACATTGCTTGTTTTCAAAGCCAACATACAACAAAGTTGCATGAGACAATTGACAAATATCATTCATTATTTTCTTTTATATTTGCAAAATAGGCTTAAAGTGACAAATCTTCCGTTGTTTGTTGATAATGGAATTTGGGACTCTGTTGGGATTAAGAAAAGGGCAACCTAGACAAAAGGGGGCACTTCGAGCACGTGCCCCCTTTTGAGCACTACTGATTGATAACATCAGATTTGAATAATCTCTTTGGTTTACATAGTAAGTAAATCTCTTATTTATTCTTATGCAAAATATGTTGTCCCTTAATCTTACAATTTCTAAAACACGTTAATGTTTTTCATATTCTTTACACATTGCCAAAATTATTGCTTATTAATAAGTCAATTACTAATTTAAATTATTATTTAAATTATAAATACAATTTACATAAAATAAAACCAAACAGCTTAATTGTCGTAAATTTTTAAAACTAATAATCAAAAATTATCAACGTTACCTCACTAGCCCCGTATCCGGGATAGATTTCGACCCCGAGTTCTTCGGCTTGCTCTCCGAGCCACCGAACCACATTTCCCAATCTAACAATGTAATTTCCTTCATTATGCATAGGCAAACCTGGAAACGAATTGCTAATGGTCGTGAATAATTATTTTTAGTTCAATTCACAGATTAATAATTTAATAATAATTAAATTATAAAATATCAGTATTAATAAATGATTTCCTTCAAATAAATCATAGTTGAGAAAAAATATTTAATTTGATCTTAAAATATAACTATTGATATAGGTTATAGGTATATTAAGTTAATTTGCTAAAATTTTAATTATTAAATTAAAAATCTTTTTCATTAATTCCTACAAACCTATTATTAATAATCACAAGAAATATTTGTATCACAAAAAATAATTTTATTGAACCTAAATCTGCTAAATATAGAAAATCAGTAAAACTGATATATGCACCTTAGTATAAAATTTGATAAAAAGTTCAGAAATTTAATATGGTAAAAAAAGTAAATGAATGCATTATCTTAATAATATTATCTTCATATAGTATTAACCATTTGTAACATCTTTCCAAACTTATTTGTTATTGTAAATTAAACCTGCTTTTCTGGAGTCCAAACATTGTATAACACCGCAGTCTAATTCCCAAGTACCCTCGAACTACTTATATCTTTCTTCAAGGGATAATTTTAAATTTCTGATTTTCAAAAATACCCTCTGAAGATGCATATATGTATTCTAAAATTACTTGGAAGTGGATATAACATTTATATGGTGTCGGAACTGTAAAAAGGAAGATTTTAAAGTTTTTAATGGATATTTATTTGAATTTCTTTCTGAATATCTTTGTCAATCCTAAGAAAACTTGATTTTAAATGAGAAATTAAGATACAAAAATTACTGATTGTGCAATAAAAATAAATACTTACTGAACAGTTTTTCTAATTCTAGATTATTGTTTGTAGTTATTCCATAGTCATTTTTCAAGAATTTGAAATTTTGTTAATCAGTTTTATAATAAATGACTTCAAAAGTGTTCATTGATTACTTAATATTATAATAATTCAACACAAAGTGTTATATTTACATTATAGGTACAAAACAATTTATAATTTTCTTTTTAAGTAATTATTTAAATACAGAATTAAATCAATAATCTGTACTACTATTTATATCAATCAAAAATTTGAATATTAAATTTTTATTAAATGTAATTACATTTCAGAACTTTAGACCGCAAATACATTTAATATGTTAACAATATATTTAAAACATTTATTGTATTACTGTGTACTTATCAAAAAGACTGCATTAATTTACTGTATTTTTTTTTAATAATAAATTTTAAAAGATATTGTATAGATGCATTGAATAAAATAAATAATATGATGCAATATAAAACATAAAAACAATCTCTAGTTGATAATTTGCTTATGAACAACATTCCCTCTAATTTTTTTGTAGCTGAGTGGAACGTGTGCTTCTCTGAGCAAAAAATTTTTCTAAGCAAATACATGGACAATCTTATTTTTTCCTTTAAAAACTAAAATAATTAATTATGAAGTAGAGATTAAATTCATTTTAAATCATACGTCCATACAAAATATTATCTTTTGTCAATGATTTAATGTATTTAATCAAAATATTCATATCAATAATCATGTTGCAGATGGAGTGAGAAATCAGTAAACAACAGTTCAAATCAGTGTTCATGCTCACCTGCGTGGCACATAAATTCTCATGCATGGCAATAATTTGAGCAGTGTGCAGCCATGCAATTAGAGGGAATGCTGCTTATAAGTATCTTGGATAGTTTCATAATAATTTAATAGTTTGCAATTTGGATCTTATCATCTGCTGTATTTGTAATTAATAGCTTAGTAATGATAAATATAATATCTTCAAGAACAAAAATATTGTCTACGTACCTTCTGTATATGATAATATTAGGAAGGAAAGAAGGTAAGACTGTTTTTTCTAAAAACCTAATGACCATCTCACAAAGATCTTCTGATAGTGGACTGCCATCAGTAAATCTCTTTTTTTGTAAGTACATTTTGTGATCATATGTGCTAGTTCTAAAATATGTTTGTGATGCACAGGTTCATTGTTTATACTTAACTAAAAATCTCTAAAAGCACAAAAACATGGTTGTAAGAGTATTAATGGGTATAAAGAAATAAAATCTAACGTTGTTACATACACACTTTGTATCACTTGGAGCTGCCACAATTCATTGATAAACTGCTCAGGGTTACTAATGGAGAAGCTGTATGCTTTTAAATGTTCTTTGAGCAAATCATGTATATGTTGCTCAAAGAACATTTAAAAGAATACAGCTTCTCCGTTAGTAACCCCGAGCAGTGTATCAATGAATTGCGACAGCTCCAAGTGACACAAAGTGTGCATGTAACAATATATGTTAAATTTTATTTCTTTATACCCATCCATACACTTACAACCATGTTTTTGTGCTTTTAGAGATTTTTTGTTAAGTATAAACAATGAACCTGCTCATCACAAACATATTTTAGAACTAGCACATATGTTATGCTATTCCTCCTTTTTTCAATATGATTACAAAACATACTTACAAAAAAATAGGTGTACTGATGGGCAGTCAGTCCCCTATTGGGGGATTTTTGTGAGATGGTCATTAGGTTTTTAGAAGTCTTACCTTCTTTCCTTCCTAATTTTATCATATTCAAGAACAAAATGCTTTCTTCTTAATCAAAATTTATTTTGTTTAAGCATACTTCAGTTAAAGGAGGAATTAAAAGATAATATTTATAATATTCACTCAGTAATTTTTTAATTTTAAGTTTACGATTATAAAATTAAGTATTTTTAAATTCCATAGTTTAGATTAGATAAGAATTGAAAATAAATAATTTCCAATTAAAAAAAAATTAAATTTTCTATCCAAAGCATTTAATATGTTCAGATTTCTTATTAAACAAATTCATGAAATATTGCAAATGTATATGCCACAACTTGCATCAATTTATCTGATTCATGCTATTTGATAATTTGGAAATTTATTAGTTTCAACACTCAACAAGTAACAAAATAAGTTTAATTTGATATAACATAAAATAAACTTTATTACTGTTAGTTTAAGTTAGTACTAAATAAATAATACATTTTTCCTTTTATTTCAAAAAGTGATGAAGAAAACAAAGGTTTTTATTCTGGTTATTCAACATGACTTGTAAATCCATGTTATAAGCTCTTCTCATCAATTAAATGTTGTATAAACCTAGAACCATATGCCTCATCTCTGAAAGATCAGGATCCTTGCAAAGTAGATGAATCAGTTTTTCTTCATTCCACATAGGTAGTACAGTGGTATCTCAGGATACAAATGCCCCAGCATACAAAATTTTCAGGATATGACATGAAATTCAAACATATTTTTGCTCCACAGTATGAACAAAAACTCACCATACGATGTTACGTTAATTCGTGGTGACATTTTTTATTCACTTCTGTTCATCGGTCTCAGTCCGCATGTTTGCTTCGTTGTGGAAGGATCTCACTTGATAAAGGAAATCTTGAGGTATTATCAGAAAGTGATTGATTTTATTGAAAAGAAACATCCCGGAAAGGTTCAACACTGGCCTTATTGCTGTTCGGAGTAATGACATTTGCCTAAGACATTTTAGAAACATTTTAAAAAGTAGGCAAAGCCAAACCTCTGTGGATAGATATTTTACCAAGCAACCTCTATCCAGTGAAAGTGCTGGTGGAAGTGAAGGAAAGAAAGCAAAAAGCAGTAAATAAAAATAAAAAAAATATATATATAAAACAACAACAATTTTTTTATCTTTTCTAAGTTATTTTTAAGTTATTGTTACATTATGTTATGTAACTTAAGTTTTAGTATCATTTCCCTTCTCCCTCTCCTCTGCTACCAGTTTACACCTCCACTGTCGTCTATCCTCAAAGGTAAAGTGCAAATAAAACTACATTTTTTTAATCAATTATTATTCTATTATGGTTATTTATACATTTACAACTACAAAATGCATTTTTCAGTGTTTTGCTTACTATAGTTATTTTTTTCAATGTATTAGTTAGCTTTAATTTGAGTGTGTTTTTCATGTTGGAATGAATTATTTGGTTTTACATGTAATCATATGGGGAAAAATGATTCACCTTATGACATTTTCGTGATATGATCTCAGTTTCGGAATGGATTAATTTCATATCCTGAGGTACCACTGTAATCAGATTTTTTTCTCCATCCGAAGGTTTAGGATTAATGTCTGGCTGTTTAGGACAATGGATAGGTTGTCTGCCTTATTTCGTAGGAGTTCTCTGTAACGGACCAGGATTCGGTTCTATTCCAGTTCTTTAGAAATAACTTATGTATTGCTTTTATTAGTAATAATGTAATTTTATTTCAACATATCCTAAAACTACATCATCTTTTGTGACTTAAGCAAAATAAATTTAATTAAATTTATATGTATTTGTATTTCTATATATTATTGTGAGAATCAGGATTTAGGGGTCGGGTCATTTTTAAAGAAATTAGAAAAAGAGAGAACAATTTCAATTCAATTAGAAGTTAATATTTTTTACTTTGACAAATTTTCGAATCAACGGATGTCAAAACTTTCAATTTCGATAGGAAGTTTATTTCCTATCTCTGATGACTAGTAAGTTGAATCAGAAATGGCTGCACACGAGACTTGGCCAACTGTAGGCCATTGACCTGCATAAAAGGGACATTTTCCCGCCATTCCAGGTAGTCCGTCAAAGAGGTTACCATACAGACTTTACGCAGTTTGTCAAAAGAAGTTCTTGCCACATAAACTACGATTAAGGCCATTCTAAGTTAAGAGGACCGCCACATAGATGTTGATCATATTAAAATAGTGCATCCATAGATGTTATGCTTCCTAAACATCTCCCTGATACTGAACGAGAAGACAGTGTTCATATACAAGATACTTATGGAACTGTGAAGGTATTATAATCTATTTAGATTGATGTGAACTCTCTCTCACGCATATACATTTAAGTTAGATGGTTGAATTTTCTCTCTCTCAAGATAGGTTCAGAATCTATTATTTGTAATCCCTTTAATTGTAAAATTATTTTTATTTGATTCCATTAACTATTTTGTTTTGTTACTTTAAATATGTTCTCTTCAATGACTGATATCCATGCCTTTGTCTGCTCCACTTACTTGTGTCCCTCCCATTCGAAATTCCTCGTTTACGCGTGTTAATCCGCGGATTAAATTTATTAACTGGTGTCAGGGAAACAACTTCCAGGGGATCTCGCGAACTCCTGGACTAAATTTAAACATCTTAGGAAGTCATCCATTGATGTTTGAGATCGGATCTCACGATCTGTGTAGAATAAGTGGTCAGACAGGTTTAACCCTTGACCCCCTACTTATCTCATATTGTTAAACCTGTCTATCAAAAACATGTTTATCTCAAAAGCTATTTTTCCCCTGTATTTTCAACATAAATTCAATGTACTTTTCATGTTTATCTCAAATAATTTTCTCACGAATTACAACTGAAATGTCAATTACAAATTCAAAACTTGGCAACTATATCTTGGTAGCATAAATTGTAGTTGAGAAACATCTCATGAAATACAGTACATAGTTGCAATTAACACTGCTTTTCTCTGATTGACTATGATTTTGGCTTTTGTCTTATTGGTTGAAGAAACTCAGACATAAGAAATTATTGACAAACTATTTCTGTTAAGATATGTCAAAAATGTTTTATTTATACCTAATACAACTATGTTCTGTACTTGCTATTGTATTAATAAAATAGCATACCTCCATAAAACCTATTGTTGTTTACTGTAAAGGAAACTCTGTCTCTTGAAACCTGGCTATCTCAAATTTTTTTCTCATTTCCATGAGATTTGAGATAAAAAGGTTCAACTGTATTGAATTAGATTCTATATGTAATATTTACCTTTAAATATTGGTACTGGAAAACTTCCTTTTTCAGTGAGAATATAAAATTTATCTTTAGTAACGGGTGTATATAATGGTGCCTGAAAAATTGAGTATGCTAAATTAAAATATAAAAATTTTAAAAATAATACAGGATCTTCCTAAAAGAATGCTACTATTATTTATTGTAATTAATTATTATATGTAATTAAAGAATTATTGTAATTATGTTAACTATTATCTGAGAACATTATAATGAATATTAAAACATTAGACAAACATCAAAGTTTTATATTTGCCCACTACAATTTCTTAAAGCAAACACCTCATATCTCATAGCACACACCCAACTGAAACTGAAATTCTTCCTATGCTTGCTATGGTTGTTACTCCTCCCACTGCAGCCACAATTTTGCAGCTACTACAGATTACTTGTATTGCACAACTATGACTGATTCCAACTTTGCAAATTGCAGAACACAAGATGCCTTCCCTGTTGTGAAGTCACCATTTTTGTTTACAACAGTTCCTAGAGGTAGTAGACGACAAGACACTTAAATGCAGATGGGAGATGAGACTCAAACAGTTACTCTATTGGTTGGTGTACATTGTATAGTTCTTTGGGTAATAATTAACATAATTACAGTAATTTAAAATGGTAGCATTAATTTTGAAAGACCCTGTACATTATTCAAAGTAAAAAAAGTCATAAAATCATTCTTAAGAGACATTATCCTAATAAATAGAAAAACTANAAAAAATTATCTAAAAGCATTATAATCTTATTTACTGTATTATCAGTTATTTTTTTAATTTTTAATCTTTGGAATTTAAAAAGCATCTGATATAATTTCAAATATATAATGTAAGTTAAACAAATCATGAGTCATGTAGAGTGAGTCAATTTTGCAATTAATATGTATTTTAATATGTATTTTAAAATAAATTTGCATTTTTTATTGTTGTTATAATATTTAAATTTTATTTTATTAATATAATTACCAATTTCTGGTGATTTATCAACCAAACAAACTCTTAACTCTTTTCCTTTCTCATTAGCTAGTTGTTTTAGGCGAATGGCGGCAGACATTCCGGCCGGTCCTCCACCGACGACGACCACATCGCTTTCGTCCGAGACTCTACTCATGTCGACATCTGAAAGTATTCAATTTGGAATGTATGTAATGTATTCGAAACAAATGGTTTTGATAATCATAAAGATATTAACATGTAGCCCTAATATTCCCATTCTGACATTAACTTAGTAATTAATAAGTAAAAATAAATATAAAATTGAATATAACAATGTAAGAGGCTGTCCATTAATTGAATGCATTGTTTTGAGCCACTTTTAATTCTCTCTCTCCCGCCCTCTCATGTACAGTACAATAATGCACTTTTTGCAATCCTCTAAACTGTACATAGAAATGTATGGATGGCCTCTAAAAACCAAATAAAAATAGATGTAAATATATTCATTTAAACTGTTAAATCCAAACCCATTAAATTCATAATACAAATGAAATACAACTGAATGAAATTTTAGTACAAAATTATTTAAAAAAACAACATGTAGTGAAAATGGGATCAGAAAGGAATGGTGTACAGATAGAGAAAAATGGGGTAGGTTCCTGGAAGTCAGAAGGCGATGTCAGATGCCATAAACCAAATTATATATATAATTATTATGAAAAGGCAAAAATCTTATTTTTGAGGGGGGTTTTAAAAATAATTTTAATGCCAATAAGTAAAATTTTCATTAAATCTGACTCCATTTGAGATGACCTCCCTCTATATTCCCATCCCTTTTATCTTTAAAATTTAACAGCACCAATGTCCCATATATAGAAACAATCCTGCCAAATTTCAAAATTCATGGTTTTCCCAGTCCCAAGATATAATACAAAATAGATGCCGATGTGTGCACAATTTTCATATGTTTTTTTAACACTTTTGGGCATGTAAGTTTGAAACATCAATAAATACAAAACATCACAGGATAAAAATTGACAAATTACCATATTTTCCCTATGTTATATTCTATAACAACCAAGAAAGTGAAATGATAATCATATCCTTTGATGTTACTTATTATTTAAAATGGTTTAGCATCAAGCTATTTCAAATACTATCAATTATTATTACATATCAACACAGTCAATTCAAACTTTATTCAAGATATATTTAGTTATATATTTTTGTAAAATAGCCTTTCTGTATAATGTTGTTTTGTTAAAAAATTTATGTATACTTTTTTAATGTTTAGTTGGCTGATGAGGGGCAATGCCCAAAACGTGTAGTAATACTCGTATCAACTGAATAAAGATGAAAAAACGCCAAGTGTTTAAACAGTAACACGGTCTTGTGTTTGAGAANATTTAATGTTTATAAGAAATTTTTTAAAAGTTTTTTCGATTACTTTTAATTACAGTTTTATTATTAAAATAGAAAAATACACGGTGGGCAAAAAGTCCTTAAAAGTTTTAAACGTTTATAAAAAATGGAAGAATTATCAGAATAAAATGCAGTTTGCATATGTAAGTATTGTTGGCACAAGGGTTTTTGTTGATAAGAAGAAAAACTGGTTCCAAAAATCACTAAAAGTGGCTTCAACATAATGCAAACAACAATGAAAATGACTTTTAATGTGTTTATTAGACAAATGTGTGACATGGCCTCCACAAAGGGATATAACACAATTTAGCTTAGTAACTATACCTGTACCTGCAGTGTAGGTGTTTAGATGGATGAGTGTTACCCTCATGGCAAATTCCAACAATGTGGTAGGGCCTGATCAAAACACTTGGGAATTGACCCCAAGATCATCAGGTATCAAGTCTTGTGATATCTTACTTTGGGACTTCATTAAGGATTGTGTTTACAAGATAATTCTAGTCTTGTAAACATGATCTTCAGGCAGCATGAATCTTTGCCTGAAGTCTTTGACCTTCAGGCAAAGATTTATGCTGCCATTCAAGAAATTGATGCCGACATGCTTTACTGGGTCTGGCAAGAGCTAGATTATTGTTTGGACAAGCTTCACATAACAAAAGGCTCCCTTATTGAATGTTTATGACACAAAAATAAACTTGGATATTTTCTTTATGTAATGTTCTTAATAGCATTAATTTCAGCTTACTAGTAAAGATTTTATATGAAATAATAATACATGAAATTACTGTGGATATCTGAGTACGTAATGTGACTTAAAGAATCTAGTACGTACATATCAATGTTAAACTCCAATTTTTTAGTAGTCTTATACATTTTTAGAGTGGCGAGAATACCACATGTTTATATGTTTTATAAACTTTATTAAATAAGGAATAAAAAAGAGCCAACAGAAAAGAGTGGAGGCGCACAAAACGCACCTAAACAGTAGAATAAAGACAGATATAAAGTAAAGCCTGGTGTCTATTGAGTGCATTTCATTGTGTAATAAGAATAAATAATATATGACTTAATTTAACTGTTCTTAAGTTAACCTTAAAAATATCTTGGTTAACTGATTTTTGGGGTAATCTGTACATTACATTTGTTAAGGTATTATGGTAAAAATAATAATTTTACACTTTTATTAATTTTTAGGAGTTTAAATAGTGTGTAATGGTATAATAAATAAATGTTAATCAGTTAAATACATATAGACTGAAGTAAATAACTCAATAATATTTATTTTCCATAAGTCATTGTTATTTCAATAAAAATTTAAAAAGTTCAATAATGTAATAGCATTTTTTGATATAATTTCTACTTTTTACAATTTGCAAATAAAATCAATTTCACGTAAAAAAAAAAATTATCTAAAAGCATTTTAATCTTATTTACTGTATTATCAGTTATTTTTTTAATTTTTAATCTTTGGAATTTAAAAAGCATCTGATATAATTTCAAATATATAATGTAAGTTAAACAAATCATGAGTCATGTAGAGTGAGTCAATTTTGCAATTAATATGTATTTTAATATGTATTTTAAAATAAATTTGCATTTTTTATTGTTGTTATAATATTTAAATTTTATTTTATTAATATAATTACCAATTTCTGGTGATTTATCAACCAAACAAACTCTTAACTCTTTTCCTTTCTCATTAGCTAGTTGTTTTAGGCGAATGGCGGCAGACATTCCGGCCGGTCCTCCACCGACGACGACCACATCGCTTTCGTCCGAGACTCTACTCATGTCGACATCTGAAAGTATTCAATTTGGAATGTATGTAATGTATTCGAAACAAATGGTTTTGATAATCATAAAGATATTAACATGTAGCCCTAATATTCCCATTCTGACATTAACTTAGTAATTAATAAGTAAAAATAAATATAAAATTGAATATAACAATGTAAGAGGCTGTCCATTAATTGAATGCATTGTTTTGAGCCACTTTTAATTCTCTCTCTCCCGCCCTCTCATGTACAGTACAATAATGCACTTTTTGCAATCCTCTAAACTGTACATAGAAATGTATGGATGGCCTCTAAAAACCAAATAAAAATAGATGTAAATATATTCATTTAAACTGTTAAATCCAAACCCATTAAATTCATAATACAAATGAAATACAACTGAATGAAATTTTAGTACAAAATTATTTAACATATTTTTTTTTTATTATATATAATAAAATAATAGCTCCAATACTGAAGTTACAATTGGCATTTTTTTAACTCACTACCAATATTTTATTAATATTAATATTTGTAATACTTTTGTTTAAGATAAAGTTAATACAACCCACCTTTCCATCGTTCGTCCTTTTCTCTAGGTTTAATTGTATAATGAGTCGTAATTACAGGATAATTTTTCTTCTGACAATATCGCCTTTTACATATTCTAGTCGCTTGAGATATTCTAGAAACTTGAGAGAAAAATATGGAGACTTTTTTTAATTTACAAGATTTTAACAACAAAAATGAAAAAGATTATAAAAGTTAACTTATTAAAACTGAAATAATATCAATTGATTAATTTTATTTTGAAGAATGGCACTTTTAATAAAATTTACATTATTTAAAACATTTCCAGAAATTTTATTGATCATTTTAAGTTATCTACAATATACTGTTTAAAATATCCTTACTCAGTGATAGATCTAAAATATTCAGAGTGGCCCCAAAGTCTCTACACACAAGATTTCATTTTGAGAGTCTCGATTACAGAACATTACAGTAACTAATTTGGCAGATGGTGGATAGGACATATATTTGTTATGGCGTGGCCACTCTGAAGTCCGACTTTAATGACATTTGATTATGAGGCATTGTAAAAGATAAAATCTTGGCTTTACTTTGTAACCATTAAAGACTTAAAAACAGATATTGTATATATATTTTGGTTTATAGCATCTGACATCACCTTCCAACCCCCAGGAATTCTCTCCATCTCTCTCTATCCATTCCTCTTTAATCCCATTTTTGTTACATGCTAACTTTACTCTGTCGTACCAGATTTGCTTGGGTCTTCCTCTCTGTTTCTTTTTTTGTGGAATGTATTCCATTGACATTTTTGGGAGTCTCTCATCACTCATTCTTTTCAAGTATCCAAACCAAATAAGTTGTTTCCTCTTTATTTCTTCCAAACTGTCTCCTTCAATTCCATTAGGTCTTTGATCCTCTCATTAGTTATCCTTTCTCTTTTTGATATTCTGCATGATGTTCTCAACTCATCCATTTCAACCATTGTTACTTTTCTCTTCTCTTCCCCAGTCATTCTCCATGCCTCCTCTCTGTATAATAGAATACTTTTGACAATTGCATTATATATTCTTTTTTTCTTGATCTAGTTATTTCTTCACTACACCATATTCCATTTAATCTTTTAACTGCTCTCTTACCTTGTGCTCATCTTGTATTAATTTCTATTGCATCTCTTCCATCTTAAGAATTCCAAGATAATTGTAATGCTCACATCCCTCAATCTTTTCTCCTTCTTCCAGTTACATGTCTGTTTTATCTCCTCATATGCATAAATATTTTGTTTTACTCGTGTTTATATATAAATCTCCTTTAAAATATTCCTCTTTTATTTTTCTTGTCATGTATTCCAGATCGTCCTTATCTTCTGCCATTACCACCTGATCATCTGTGAATTAGCAATGTAAACATCGGCTTACCGTTAATATATATTCTCATATTACAATATTTCTTTTTCCATATTTCCAATACTCCTTCTATGTAGATTTTAAATATGGTTGGTGAGATACAGCACCCCTGTCTTAGTCCTTTTGATACTGTAAATCCTTCTGATATTTTTTCCAATTTTTTTTTTTTCATTATGAACTTTCTATACAATTCTTTAACTGCTTTAATAAGTGTGTTATTAATATTTATCTCTTTTAATGTCTCTCATAATTTTGATGTTACATTAAAATATTGGAAAACCACCAAAATTTCACATTTGTCCATTATATTTTTTCAATGCATACATGGCATGCATCTGACCAATATTCAAATTCTTCCAATGCTTGTTAAGCATATCAGTTGTCACTTCTACAACTTCTGTAGATTACTCGTGTTGCGCAATGATGAGTGATTTTGACTTTGTTAACTGCAGAACACCTCTCTTGTGGAGTTGCACACCTCTCAATTAATAAATGACATAATTACAGTAATTTAAAATAGTAGCTTTAATTTTGGAAGACCCTGTATTTAAGTATATAAAATATATTTTTGGAAATATGCTCATTCATCTCATTCAATACATACATACATACATACATATATATATATGTATGTATGTATTCTACATTCCTTTATTTTATTTGATTTAAGACAAGTAAAGGTTTAGTATGTTAAGAAATTGTATAATTTATAAAAATCCAGATCTTTTATCATTTAAGACTGACGACTAAATATCTTTGCAAAGCAGAAATTGTGCAGCGAGCTGTAATTTGGATATGACTAAAAAAAACAAACTGTGGTTTTATATTAATTGAAATAAGGTGAAAAATACAATTAACATAAACATGCTAGTGCATAATAACATCCACAAAGACAATACTTCTTATTTAAAAAGTTTATATTAAGAAAGCCACAATCGTCACTAGAATAAAAGGATACGGTTTACAATATAAACCAAACTCAAACTGCATACATCATTTACAACAGCAGAATCAATAATGGCCAGATACATTTAATGGCGATCATTTAATATTTTTAAGACTGCATAAAGTACACACCCCTCAAATCTAATCTAAGTGCAAAGATTTAAAGTGAACAGTCCAGTAGATATAACACATAAATAAATAAAGTATTAAGACATCTCACACTGCTTAATGAGACTGCGTAAAACAAAAACAGAAATCGTGACCAAGAAAAGGACCAGGATAAAGAGGAGAAAAGGAAGCAAGAAAAATGCAGAAAGAGGCAAAGAAAAAAAAATCAGAAGATACAGAAGCAGAAAAGAGGAAGAAACAGAAGGATGCGACAAAATGGCAACAAGCCCACACAACTGATAAAAGTCAAACTACGATAACGACTAAGATGTATTTAACAAGTTCCGATAAGTTAAAGGTGGATATCTTCATAAAACTCATTAATCTTCCTAAAAAGAGCTCGTAAATTTTATACAGTAGCATAACAAAGTATGGTCCCCTTATCTTTGTAAATTAATAAATGGAAAATTGAACAAGTAATTATTTATTGTGGCATTTTAATTTAATTTAAAATATAAGCTCTCCACCTGAAATTAGTAGTGGCTTGCTTCCGTACATCATACTTTTCTTTTAACAATAGAGTCATGCCAGACATCTATCTAACATCTTTTGGGGGAAAATTTTTGAATTAAAATAACGTGACTTACATTTTGCATCGGAAGTCCATATATAGTTAATCGGGGCCTCCCTCCCCTAAGGTTTCCACATCCGGGCCGTGTTCAGTAACGCAGAATTCTGACTTAGTCAGGCCGTGCCTCAACATCGAACAACATTCTTAGTAATTCTCACTCTGCCCACTGTAAGAATTCTTACTCATTTACTCAGACTGGACTACTTTAACAGATTTATCACACTTAGCGACATCACTCCGTCTCTCTCCGTTTTTGCTTCGAAGACTTTTACTCTTACAACCGTAACGGCCACCCGTGCCAGATTGAATAAGTTCATTTTTAAAGACAAAATTACTATTTTAATTTTTATTATATTTATTTTTATTTAATTTTAACTTCATCCGTCAGTTTTCCTAGTCGTCTAGCAAAGAATAATCGTTCAATAATGCTCAGAATATTCTTCACTCCGCCCGGTAAGACGCTCGGGATTTCGGCATCGCCGAACACGGCCCCAGTCTTTCACGCATCGAGCTCGGTTCTCGAGATTAAGGAAAGACGAACGGACAGACAACGGTGGGAATTTATAGATTTACAATTTTTTCAAATTGCAGTCCAATAAGTACAGGAAAAGGATTTGAATGCGACAAGCACACTTACACACACATATAGAAGAGTTTACTCTTCATCTATATCGTACAAGGGGTGAATGTAGGTTTGCACGCGTACAGTTCTAGTTACTGATCGTACGCATTTCACTCGCAATATACTCATTTTATAGCAATTGTACGATTCTTCAAATTTGTAAAGTTTATTCTTTCGTTATGAAATACGTTTATTAAAAAGCACGATTAATAACGTCGATTTTCTCGAAAGCTAAACATATTTTACTACTTAAAACAATTTTTTATGCATAATTAGCGACGAGGTCAACGGGTTAAAGGTCAACGACCTCATTCCGCGTACCTCGCGGTTTCGTTCCTACACAAAATATTCGCAGATTTTTAATTTTAAAATACATTTCTGTTATTTTTGAAGCGATTAAATATAATAAAGAGGAATACATATTCTGTAAATGCGAAAAAAAAGAAAAAAATTCTACCGACCGACATTTCTGGATTTTATCACGTAGGCCGCCATCTTTAAAACTCGTAACCGAAAATGCGATACGAACGGAACGGAACCGAAATCGTCGTATTTCGCCAGTAAAATATTTTATGCGTAATTCAAAGTTTGTAAATAGAATTTATATAACTTTTCCGATGATTAAATACGTAAATGGCAATGAGTAAATTACAACGTTTAAATTTCGCAAGCAAAAAGTAACAATTGTTTTCACTTAAAAGATGAGAAAACAATAAAATCATTTCCCGAGCAAAAGTCTAAAACGCAATTAGAAATTCGTGACAATGATTAGATTTCGACGATTTTTCGTTAATTGTATTTACACGAAACTCCGAAGGTCTACTTTCGATTTGGCTTACTCAATTGTTACGAAGGTAAGTGCAATTCGCTTTGGAATTTTGCTTGGAAAGCTAATTTACAACATTTTCCAAATAATTCGTTTAAATTTATTTTCTTTCTTAATTTCTAAAAAAATCTAGCAACGAGTTGCGTAACTTTGCCGGCTGCTATGAGATTTTATTTTAAAAATCTATTTTAAATTATTAATCATAATAAAGTTAAAAAGGTATATGTGGCGCCATCTATTACGAGATTCTGTCGAAAAAATTTTATATATTTTTTAATTACAGTATTATAAAAAATAGCAAAGGACTTAATTTTGATTTGATGAATTTTATAAAGATCTGTAAATGCTAACAAGAGATAAAATCTTCATTAAATCCAACCCCACGTCAGATATGACACATATCTCGCGTGGAACTACAGAAAAAAGTCGTTACTGTAGTTCCATCTCGTTTCAACAGGTTATTTGAGGGGCCAGGGTGGAATAGGGACAAATAAATTAATCTATTAGAAAAATTAGAATTTTTTACTTTTAATGAGCATATACAAGTATATACAGTGGGTGATCGGTTAACGAACATAATCCGTTTCAAGACTTTGTTCGCTATCCGAATTGTTCGTTAACCGATTATAGATTTACCATAGGTTCTGGAAATTCCAAAAAATAAAAAATATATATACTTTCTTGCTACGTTTATTTATGTGTAATAATAAAAATACATATATTTTTCAGAAATAATTAATAGCATTGAATTGTAGAGATTTCCAAGCCTATTAACCTGAACCTNAAATCACATATTTGGCACATTCACATTGCAAAAATTTTATCATGCAAAATTCATTTACTATCGTAAAATATTTCCATATTACACTACTAAACTTTTTTGTCTACATTGTTTTTATTTTAATTTAACTCAACACGCTCCAAAAATACAAACGTAATCTACGCTATTCCGTGTCACACTAAACTATAAACAAAAAATACGCGCAGTGCAAGTCAAAACACGTCGCGTTACTAACGCAAAGCGTCAACTATCGGTCCAAGGTCACACGCACCAGCGCCGACTGAGTACGAAAATTCAGATCCGTATCCGTATCCGCTGATTTAGACACTAATGATCCGTATCTGTATCCGTATCCGCGGATATACATTTTTAACGATCCGGCACATCACTAGTGTGTATGTATTGGCATCTATTTAGTTTAATATCTCAGGATGGGAGAAAGATGAAGAAACGAAATTTGGCATGTTGACTTGTATATGAGGCTATTAAATTTTGGTGGTGAAAGATCGACAGGATGGGGAGATAGAGGGGGGTCACGTACAGTACCTCCAGAGCGGTAGGACTTAATTGAAGATTTTATTTGTTATTAACATTTACACTTTAATATATATATGTTCACCTACTGTCAAAATTGCCATTTTATAGTAATTAAAAATATAAAAAGTTTTTATAACGAAATCTGATAACAGATGGCGCCACATACAATTTTAGTTTTTTGCTTAATAATGTAAAAGTTTTTTTAAGTAAAAAATCATAATATCCGGGAACGTTTCGAAACTCTCGTTCGTAGATTTTTTTAAATAATTAAAATAAATATTTAACGGGCGATTAGAGGTTTGTTTAGTTAAGTAAGGGCAACGTAACAACACATGGGCGATCTGCCTAGGGGCCAGTTAACCTCAAAAAGATCTCCCGGAATGAATTTTTAAGGTTAACTGGCCCCTATTCGGGCGTTACAGACGCGAAGAAAACCCTGAAAACTCCACGTGGCCAGCCCTTTCGGGCCAGGTGCGAAACCACAACTGAACTCCCAGTGTTCAGGGAACGGAACCGTTTCGCCACTGGTAGGCCGACGATCAGAGGAGTGTCATCATTAAGGAGAATATCGGGAATAATTTGTGCGCAAAACATTTTGTGAATAAATCTAAAGATTATGGTATGAATCTTGTTTATTTATTTTTTCGCTCTATAGACACTAGTGGGTTCGGCCCAGTGGCGTACCCAGGATCTGAACTAGAGGAGGGGACAACTCATATTAGTTTCGAGGAAGTGGGGAGGGAAAGTGAGATTTCACGACAGATGGCTCTAGTCTAGTCACAATATTCATTATTCAAACTGATACTAAATTGATACGTCTGTGCTGTGTCTGTGTGTCAATTACTACGCTTTAATTTTTCTTCTTGGGAGGGGCAGCTACCCCTTCCTCCCCTCGCTGGGTACGCCCTTGGTTGCGATACAAAATTCGTAATTTCAGGTAATAAAAACTCTTCAAAGTAATATATCTAATATTTAAATAAGCCTGCACCCTATCTCCTGTAAAAAAACCACACCACAACAGAAAAATGAAACCGGATGAATTATATGGTAAACGACTAAGGCAAGGTAAACGGACAAAGAATTTGGCTACATGGAATGTACAGTACAAGGGATCAGATTAAAGGGACAAGAGATAGTTAAAGAAATAAAAAGAATGAAAATTGATTTTGTGCTCTTAACAGAAACAAAAAAGAAAGGGTCGGGAATGGAAGAACTGGAAGACTAAGTGCATATTTACTCTGGCGTGCCAAAATATGGTGTATCCACGATGATTAAAAAAAATTTAAGAGAAATATTATCAACTTTGAAACAATAGATGAAAGAATGATGAAAGTTAACCTAAATATTTTGGAAGACGAATTACTATCATTAGAATATACGAACCAAATGAGGATGAAATCCACGAGGGTAAGGATTTGTTCTACAACAAATTGCAAGAGGTGATAGATGAAACTGGAGAGACAAGAGAAATAATGTTACTGGGTGATTTCAATGCAAATACGGGATCATTGAGAAATAACAAAATTATTAGACAATTCGGAGAAAATTTAACGAATGACAATGGAAGAAGACTAATAGACTTTTGTAATACAAATTACTTTAAAGTTAATAATGGGTTTTTTAAACATAAAGATATTCATAAATATACTTGAACCCAACATCCTAGGCAGTAGAAATCAATTATTGGTTATGTTATTACGAAGCAAAGAACCCAAATTAAAATTTTAGATGAAAGAGCACAGAGAGGTGTTATCTGCGGCTCAGACCATTCTCTAGTAAGAGTAAAAATCATTATTCTTTACAGAAGATTAATACAGACACAGAAAGAAGAAAAAGCGGAAATGGAAGTAATTAAAGATCTTAAATTTAATCTCGAAAGCTCGAAAGCGGAAGAAAGTACGAGAAAATTGTTTCAGACAAGATTAGATGAAAAATCGAAAAAAAAAAGAATATGATAACGCTATAGAATTATACGAAAATATAAAAAAACAGCACTGCATGAAGCAGCAAATGAAGCTCTAGGTCAAATCAAAGAACATGGAAAAACTTATAAAAAATTCTGGTGGGACAAAGAGGTAGAAAACATGATACAACAACGGTCAGGAAAGTTACGCAACTCGTTGCTGAATTTTTTAATATAATGTTTATGATACTTATTGTAAGTTTAATATTACTAACTTTAATTTGAATGCAAATAAGATTTTACAATAAATTTCTCATAATTTTTACTGAAAATTTCAAAATTTCTTTAGAATCGATGTCTCACGGGACGACTTTCGAAACTGGTTTCTGTTTAAGTATTAGGAACTTGACGAAAACACCGAAAACTCCACGCGGCCGATCCATTGGTCGGGTGCGAACCCACCACCGAACTATCCCCATTCATTGGTTTTATTATATTGTGAAGTATTGTATTATAAAAATTATATATTCAGACATCAGTAAATATATTTTTAAAAAATTCGGCAACGATTTGCGTAACTTTTCCGGCTGTTTACTTAAAAAAATAACTTTTATATTTTTAATTACAATATGGTAAATAAAATTGCGTGTGGCGCCATCTGTTATGAGATTTTATATTTTAAAAAATACATATTTTTTTTATAGTTATTATCGAATGGCAAAACTCTTAATTTTCAGGTAATGTGGTAAATGATGAATATCATAAAAAACTGTAAATGCTAATAATGTATAACGCCTTCATTAAGTCCGACCCCTCTCGAGATATGTAACGTGCCCCCTCTATCTTTCCACCCCCTCGACCTTGAACCACCAAAATTTAATAGAATCATGCCCTTTATTATATAAGCTATCATGCCAATTTTCGTTTCTTTATCTTCATCTCTTCCTGAGATATAAATAAAGTATAATATAATCCTTGAAAATTAGCTAAAAGTATTGATTAATAATGGTAAAAATTAACAGAAAAATTAAAATTCAATTAATTTTTTAAAAATTATTACGCATTCTTTTAAGATTTAATATAGATTAAAGCATTTGCTATGAAGGATTAATTATAATTAAGTTTTAATCAATCAATAATCCAATTTGCTCCTTATTTTTCTCTATATTATTCAATTTTTTTACATTTAAAAATTAATTCGTTTTATAATTGTTTGATAATTAAAATTATAAGTAAATTAAAATGATTAACTTGATTAGTAACTATAAAATATTAATATAAAACCAGTTGTAAACTTGACAGTTAATAAATGCTAATAAATAAATTATACTATAAGAATTTCTAGTAGAAAATTATAGAAAAATAGTCTGAAGAAGACTTCTAAGTAATGCACGAAGTTATTCTTAGCTTCACTCAATTTACACTTAAGAAAAATAAAAAGACAAACAAGGTTACTTGCACAATTCTTTTATATAAAATATATTTTGTCATAATAATATAATAACGTCTCCTCTAACTATACATAATGCACGGTATATTGATTTCGGTATCGGGTTTATGTACTGTACGAGCCA